TTTAAATTATGCTAAAGGTATAGTATAAATTACATTTTTGATAGTGTTGTTTAGCTTTTAGTTACAATTTATACTAATACAAGTATATGTATAGCAGGGCCTAAAATTAATAAAACTTAGTTCTACATTATTTCATAACTTCACTTATTTTAATATGAGTTCTCCCTCCCTAAAAATAAATATAAGTTCTATAATTTTATTTTATTTGAAAATTCAACATTATTTAACATCTGTCACCTGGATAAAATAATGAAAAGTACCTATAACATACAATTATATTTAAAACTGTATTTTTGAATTTTCCAAAATTCAATATTGTTTGCACACACACACACACACACACACACACACACAATTCCAATTTTGTACTAAACTATAATATAGTGAATATTATACTAACAGTGTCATTATGTTTTAGGCCGTAAATTGTATAATATAATTGATTATTTCAGTACAAAATGCGAAAATAAGTAAAGAGAATTAGAAACTATTAAAATGACATCAAAAGTCAGGTTTACATTTTGTTCATATCATAAGATTAGTTTATGGTTAAATATTATGCATGTATAATGAAAGTTGAAAGTACCTACGGTTAAATAATTACAATAATGTGAATACTAGGTAAAATATAAACTAATTCTAATGTGTTGAATTTTGGTAGTTTTTCTTAATATGATATTATGTATTTAAGTTTAGAATAATAAAGGATTCATTTTTAAAATAAGAATTAAATAATACATCTAAAAAAACCTCAAGTCATACATTTTCTATGTCAGTAGGTACCTGCATAATGGCACATAGGTACTTATTAGTTACTACTTAAACATTTTTATGTGTGTAATGTGTATAACGGTTTGATTACATTTTAAAATAATATTATTGAATTAACTACACAATTGAAGTTGTTTTCAAGTTGCATAACAATTATACCGACCCACTTATTATATGAATTTTTGACAATATTTTACAATAGAAGTGTACAATATACGGTAATTGAAATAAATATATAAATTGTACTTTCTCGTTTGTTTTATTGTCAAATCTAATGCATGGAAAGTAAATATATAATAATATATAAAATATTTTACAATAGAACTTCCTTGACTCATACTTCATACACAAAACTAGACAATACCTACAGAATATATAAATAGTATATATTATTTACCTCGGTCTAATAAACTTGAAGATATGTCAGCATTTTAATTATTTAGCAACAATCATTAACTGTAGCCACTAAAGCATTTATTACGGTTTTAAATTTTAGCCTCTAAACAACTTGAAAAAAATATATTCTTCTTTAAGACCTGAAACAATATAATTTAAAAAGAAATAGGGTCTGACGAAAATTGTTTGAGCACAAAAAGCATAAAACATTTTTAAACACTTTTAGATTATTGTTATCTGTAAAAAATTTTATATAAATATTGTATTAAAGTTTTAGATATTTTACTTTAAAATTCTAGTTATTGTTTTTCCTGATTAAATGGAAAATTTCGAAAATGTACATAACTCAAAATGGCACTAATTAAGGAAAATAAAAACACTCACAACTGTAAAGCCAATAAATTTATCACTCCCTCAGAATCCAGTACACCGTTTATCGTCATTGACCAGTCACCAAGTATATTAAATTTATATTTCATTGATGATATAATTATCGAAAAAAAATAATAAATGTGCACTTTATCGACTCCACTACAATAAATTAAAAAAATATGTATTTCTTTTATTAAAGCAAGATTCAACATCTGAGTTCATTATCCTGGATTATTTTGTTGAGTTTATTACTGTAGAGGAGGGTATGGTTGGTTATAATACGTGTGTATGAGGTGAAGATTTGTAACTAAAACACTAGTGTAAGAACTAGTGTCACCAGCCGATGCTTTACTTCAGAACACGTTAGTGACTGAAGCCAAACAGTACGGTACACCAGACTACAAAAAAATATGTGATGAAACATTTATAAAATTAGAAAAATCACCAACTGCTATTTGCATTTAAAATTAAAAGATATATGTTCTAGTCACCTGTTGGCTATTGCACAAATTACTGACAATTATTACAACGCCATTCGCAGCGTTTAGTAACGGTGCCTTCTATTAGTTCTATAGTTCTATTGCAACGATCACTATTATAAAATTGCTATAATCGCTACATTTAGGTATACAATATCTGATTTATACATTATGATGGTAACCAGCTATAGTGTTGTATGCGACCTACTGAAACACGGAATCAACGGATAAATTATTTTCGTGTAGTATTGAAATAAAACCTACAAAATTGCGTTTAAAGTCATAAAGGTTAGGTTAATACCAAAAAAAATTTTAAATGAAGAAAATTAATACGTCTTGATGCAGGTATTTTGATTTCAAATAGAATTCAAGTAAGGAACTACGATGCAGTGACCCATAACACTATTTAAACATTTTAACCCATCCGTTTATGTATTTTCCTTCTATTGCTTAACAGTAAACAGGTAAATGTGTAAATATACTAGAAATCAAGATAATTATAATAGATAGGTATCTATAAAAAAGTTTATTATATAAGACACTGTAAAATTATTTATTGCAATTTATTAATTATTGTTCACGAATTATCGTTTTTTTTAGCTGTTAAAACAGTTTTTTTGGTTAAAAAACGGGTGTCGGCGAACTGAGTATAAACCATTTAAGTAAGTAAGGACAAATAATATTTGAATATTTTTTAGTTTTGGTATGAAAAATAATTCAAATAATATTCGGTATATTCAATAATTTTTTTTTATTCGGTATATTCGAATAGTTTTTATTCGGTATATTCGAATAGTTATTATTCGGTATATTCGAATAGTTTTTATTCGATATATTCGAATAGTTTTTATTCGGTATAATATTCGAATAGTTTTTATTCGGTATATTCGAATAGTTTTGACGCAAAAAACTATTCGGTAATAGAAAATAATATTCGAATGAAATATTCGATAGTAAAGGCTTACTATCGAATAGTTTTCGATAGTACTAATCGATACTGCCCATCACTACCCATAAGGTATAATTAGGTATATAATAATTAATAATTAATAATATCACTCGATAATAGACTAATATCTAATAATAAAAATAATAACTAATATTGTTCTGTGCTAATATGTGACACGATTAAAGATTGTACTATCGTTAATCGTAATATATGACCATCGAGATAGATAAACAATATTGTTTATCTATCTCGATGTATATGACATACTATAAATCTTACTTTCCCATGACTTCTGATAAGACACACTGTATGTTTAGTTGCATTTAAAAAAGTTTCGGGCGCAAAACGAATTGCATACAATAGCAACATAATCAATGATGATGTGATCTGAAACTGATCTGATCTTCTATCACGCCTATCTTCAAATACTATATAGTATGTAGTCCCACCCATCGTCTTATTTTAAATTTACAATTTACGAATTGATTAATCTAAAATAAAAATATAAAAAATAGAAGTTCGATTAAAATGAATCTATATATTATAAATTTATAATTAATATTATTTTAATTTTTCGTCCATCATGATTACCAATACATTTTAATATTATATTATCAAGAATATAATTCAATATTAGTAATAATCGTACTATGATTTATTTTAAAGATTAATAAGAAATTATTTTAATAAATGTCCATAAATCATACATATTTGACCGTTTATAGAAAAATTAATTTAATTTTAATATTTTTACTCCATTAAATTAAGTGTTCACATCTAATTAACATCATACATTTCCATAACTAATTTGTAAACACCGTATAATGTTTCTAAAGGATTTTAGAATAAATTTGGAATATGTTTAAATATTACTTGTCTTATTATAATTAATATTGTAAGTTTTATAATTACGTATTCATAGATATTCATTTACATATTTACTATTTGAGTTTAATAGTTAAGATCATTACCTATTTATATTATTTAACTAACGTATGAATATAATCATATAGTTAATAGGATGCATATATTGTTGTTATTATAATCTATAATATTAACATAATTTGSTTTTTTGTTACTATCAATTATATTAAAAATTTTAAACTAAATAATTATAATCTTTAAAGTGTACACTTATGCATATGCATGAACGCGCAACTAAAAAACATACAAAATGTATAATAGATCACTTTTATAAATGTTATATAATTATTGAAAAAAATTAATAAAAATCCCAAATATCTATGGACTATGGTAGATGAGTAAAAACTAAAAGAAGGTACGGAATGTAAGATGTAACTGCGGCACAGCTAGTGGCCATTTACTCATGGGCTTTTCTCGAATCGTTTTGTGCAGCAACATAATATTTGTTTTGTCGCGAAACGCGATAAGTACGTTTACCTGATAACATAGTTAAATTTGGAATAAATTAATTTCAAGTATTGTTCAGTTGTGTGGATAAATGTAGGAACTATATTATGCAGAATTGAAAAAAATCCGTCTGGGTGAATGACATTTTTTCGAACATAAATAAACGAAAATAAAACTAAAAATTGAGGAAAAAGATTTGTATATTTTTGTCGTGGTCACACTGGTTATGCGTATCAGCTGACAACCTTTTGAATCTCGGCCGTACGAACACTTGATAGCCGATAGGATCCGTCCTCCGTAGTGGCCGCAGCGCCGCGCACATTAGTTACTCATTAAAAACTGATACGCTATTCTGTACGCTGCACGTTGTACTGCAGCTATAGCCTGCTCGGTACTCGGTACATCATCTCTTCACCTTTAGTCGTCTGTTGACCGTTCAACGATCTTGCGTTCTTGTGTTCACTGCGCGTTGAAACTGTGTTTTTTCATTCGAATTATTGGCGTCCATTAAATTAATTTCGTTCAAATCCGTGTGTGTAACAACAACACAATTTATCGTGCTGGGTGGATTTTAAATACTATTTAACTTCTTTTTGATCTGTTTCAACTTCGTTAWTCGATACGTACGTTTAGATTCCATGTTTACGTAAACGGAAGTCAGTATGTCTCAGTCACAGAACTCTCGTGAGACGGTCATCCATCTCGTATCCGGAGGGTAATTGTTTTAATAAATTATAAAATTTTCCGACCACCTGCCCAAGTTGTCACCATTCTTGTGATGAGTTTTTTTWAAATTATTTTAATGTTTACTCCAGGTTGGCTGGTACTACTGGTGCTGTGGTTACATGTCCATTGGAAGTGGTCAAGACTCGGTTGCAGTCATCTTCCAACTTTGGTGCTACACGCTATGATTATGTGCCTAGAATTGCATCTGAAGACAGTGGTGGTAGTCGTATGACATGTAAGACAATCTCGTCGCTGCAGCGACGTCGATATAACACCTTAAGCGGCGCTGGTGGCCGACACTCCAGCACACAAATACTAACATTTTCTCAATGTGGTGTAGGCAACCAGACAACCAAATCAATGGGACTCATTCAATGTCTCAGGTAAGAATGTTGAAAATATTTGATTGTATTTTACTCAACAATCATTTTAAAATGATCCTATCATAGCTACCATTTTAGTTGATCAGTCCATAAATGAACAAATTTAATTTAGAAACTGAATAGGTAGAAATTATTTTTTTTTTTTTTTAAATTAAATCAAACAATACAACCTTACCAATTTATATAAAAAATTGTATGTCTTTAACCATATGTAAGGAATAACACTTATTATAAGTTTTCAAACATTTTGGCATGGAAAGTATTGAGAATAAATGTATTAAGGCTTTAGGTATTCACTATTCACATATTATATATATTATTTTATACTAAGTAGGTAGTTGCTTTATATTATATTTATAATTTTGCAAAAGGAAAACTGTCATTAACATAACTGATAGTAAGTCAATTTATACAATTGGAGTACTATGAACTTAAATTGTTTTGTTTACAATCTTCAAAATGCAATAAATTTATGTTTAGTTCCAATGCATTGAAGGCTAAAATAGTTTTAAATTTAGGTCAGCTGTGAAGTTCAGTTCTTAAGCATATATAATTTCTTATGTACATTTAATAGAAGTTGTAAATTTGTAATTCTATATCACTTTTAGTCTAGGCGGTACCATTGAGTATTGCCACCATTGATAATATTTAAATAATCAAGCTAATAGTAAAAGTATAGTTCTAAATAGAGAGTTGTTTACAAAATCAAAAACATTGACTAGAAGTGACAGTAATAGTATCAATGTATACTTTGGTAATGTGGCCTAACATATGTTATTGAAACTTGTTTTTCTTGAGTTGTTTTTATCATTATTGAACAAAGAATAATTTTGTCAATTTACAATTGTCATATAAAGTTTATTAGCCAATTTAAAAAATATATATGTACCTAAAATAAAATACAATTTATAACTAATAAGTAGTCATGCAATTAAATTTACAATCTGAATTTATTTTTTAAGTTGTATTAAAGCTGATAAGCAATAATTAATAAACACAATAATAATATTACCCATGTATGCCATAATTAACAACTTAAAATTTAGTTTGAAAATAATGAGTCTAGGAACAAAATATTTTGATACATCAATTATAATCGGTTTGATGTTATTTCTGATTTTTATCGCCCATAGGTCATAACATTAACATTTCCAAAAAATATGATAACCTCATGTTTTTTAATTAAATAACCATATTATAATAATAATATTAGATGATATTTTAACAAGTATGTTCAATGTTGTCAATGACAATTTCAAGATACAACTGTAAAAACAACAAAAAAGACTTGTCAGTTACTACCTGCACAAAGTATTCTTAAAAGGTTGTCATCGTTCATTCAAATTTTTAAAAAAGAATCTCCAATATTGTTAGGTGTTTGTCTATGGACTAAGTCCAATTAACATGGCATTACCTTCTGTGAGCCAATAGATTTCATATTATTAGTGCCAAACCTATATCAAGTCTAAAAAAAAACAATTTACATTCTTGGTTGACAATACTTAGATATTTACAAATATCTAGTACATAATGATACTAATATTAGATAAAACATATTATTCAATTACAATKGCTATTTAATCTAAGTGTTTAGTACTTTATTATAGAATTTTTATCATACTTATTGATAAATAATTTAGAGTCAACATTTACATAGACATATATTTATATTTTATACTATTATTGGTTTGGTCAATGATAAAAAAAATAACATCTCTATATAATCCTTATAATACATTTATAATAGGTATACTCGTATACTACTTTAAATATGTATATGCCGAGTTTGAACTATGAGTTATTATCAATTATAGAATAACCTATGCTTCAAATCTAATAATTGTTACTACCTACTTAGCTATTAATTAATGAAAGTAAAATCATGTTTGTAGATATGTACAATCATAAAAATATAAGAAATACTGATTTTAGACTAATRTTAATACTTTTCATGATTATAAAAMTAWTAKTTTTRT